ATAAAAAATTATTTGATTTATTTTTGGATTGTGTTATATATAACTAGCCTTTTTTTTTTCTTTTTTCTTTTTATTTTTTTGCACTTGCGTAGGTTGGATTTGCTAGGTTACAACGTTTGGTGCTGTCAAATTTTCCCAAGTTGTTGGAAACATGGCATATTAAGAATCCTCAAGAACTCTTAGATTTTAGACAACTTCAGGTGCTGGAAATTTGTAATTGTAGCAAGTTCAGGCACCTATTAACAGATTCATTGGCCTTGGGCCTCGTGCAACTCTTGCAGTTAATAGTAAAAGATTGTGGAACAATGGAACAAGTGATAATGGGAGAAGGAGCAAAAAATAAAATGGAATTCCCACATCTTTGGTTGATTAATCTAGAGTCTTGTTCAGATTTGACAAGTTTTCATGTGGGAATTCATAGTCTTGAGCTTCCATCTTTAACTGATTTTATTGTAAAAGACTGCCCAAAAATGGTCACATTTGTTGCATCTACATCCTCCAAGGAGCACAACAAAGAGGAATCCCAATACCTCTTCAGCAGCAAGGTTAGTTTCTTTTCTTCTTTTCCCTTATCTTTTCTCTTCTTTTCTTTTCTTTTTTTTACAGCAACATGGTTTATTTTTTATATTTATGTTTTGTAATTAAGATTTTACATCATATTTATGTTTGCTTTTCGCATGTCGGTGTTTCCATCTCTAGCTACCTCTTTAACTACATGAATGAATCTCCTTGAATAAGTTCCACTTAATATATGGTTAGAAAATAAAGACCCTTGGCTGGTACATCATCACTTAAAATATGAAGTTACTCAAGTCTAAAAATAGGATTATTATCCAAATAATATTTTTTTTCTTTTTTGCCCTGCATTTACCCGAATAATGTTTAAGTCTAAAAAGAGTTGGCTATTTTTTACTCAAAAATCAATATACTTCGCATAATTGCACGTCATTTTCATGTTCTTGCTTGTGGATTATCCTTCTAATGTTTTTAGTTTAATCAATAAAAAAAGAAAAACTTTTTCACAAAGTTTCTATTAGGTTGAGTTTTCTCAACTTGGAGTTTTTGAAATTGTCTTTAGCTAAAATTAAGCAAATATGATAGTTATCTTCCTACTATCTTATATTAATAGACTAACTAAGAATCTTTGCAGGTAGAGACTCCTAGCTTGAAGTTTTTGAGTCTATCTTCAAATAACATTCAGCAAATTTTGGACAATTCAATTCTAGAAATCTCTTCTTATGTCCAAAATTTAAGAAAGTTGTGTGTGAAAGGTTGTGGTAATTTGGAATATCTATTGGCATCCTCCATGGTTAAGAGTTTTGAGCAACTGAATTGGCTCAAGATTTGTGATTGTAATATGATGGAAGAGGTAATACTTGTAGAAGAATCAATGGATGAGGAAAAGATGTGCAAGATTTTCTTCCCTAACCTGGAGTTTCTATTGCTCCAAGACCTTCCAAAACTCACAAGATTTTGTTTTGGAAATTACTTGGAATTACCATGCCTTCAGAAACTTAAGATAAGCAAGTGCCCTATGCTGAAGACTTTCATCTCTAGCTTTTTTTTTGGAGACATGATAGCTAGTTCTGAAAATGTCAAAAACAGTTGTGCACTTTCTCTCTTTGAAGCAAAGGTGATTTCTCCTTCTTCTTTTTTCCCTTTATTTTTTACTTTTTAATATCTTATAATGCTATTATTATTTTCTTGTCCTCCTAAAGTTTTACATTTAAAAAAAAAAAATTAGATTCCAATATTTTCATTTCATTATATTTATGATTATGTTTAATTTTAATTGAATTGTGTAAATCTTTAGGTGGCATTCCCCAAATTAGAGCATTTGGTAATTGAACATGTGAAGAGCTTAAATAAGATATGGAAAGACCAGCTCGAAGTAGATTCTTTTTGCCAACTAACTTTGGTGAGTGTGGTTTCATGTGAAAAATTATTGAATATTTTCCCATTTAGCATGTTAGAAAGGCTTCAAAGACTAGACAAACTCCAAATATGGAACTGTGATTCACTTGAAGAGATACTTGAGTCTCATGAACCTGCTGTTAGTCAATCACAAGCTCAAAAGGCCACTCCGCGACCTTTGTTGGAAACCGTCACATGCTTGGAGGATGATGTGAAGGATGAGATTGTCTTTAGCAAACTCAAGTATTTGCAACTTTGTGGTCTGCCTAGACTTTCAAGCTTTTGCTCGGTTAAATGCAAGTTTGAGTTCCCATTTTTGGAAGAGGTGATTTTGATGGATTGTCCAAGTCTGCAGACTTTCTCCATGGAAGAAATAAGAACGCCAAAACTACAGAAAGTAAAATTGATTAGAGATGCAGATGAAGGCTTTTGGGATGGCAACCTAAACTCGACCATACAACTACAGTTCATGCAAAAGGTATGCATTAATTCAAAAGATCTCCTTTGGTTTTTCCTTTTTTAAGTTCTATCTCTTTTCCTTTTTTACACAAATCTTCATTTAGAGTTTTCAAAATAACAGGACAAACTAGAAAGATATATATGAACGCTTAATAGATTATGATTTTAAAAAGGAAAATTTTTACTATAATTTTTCCTTTCACTGTTAGTATTGTGGTGTTTTTATGTCTGTAGAATCAAGGTGATTCTGAAAATTGAGATCAAAGAAATTGCGGCTGTCCTTTCCAAGTGAAATTTGATGGTGAGTTGGTCTTATGCTTCCATCATCTCGCTACACTTGTTTGATAAAGGTACATCTCTTGTAAACATGCATGGAGGTATATTGAGGCTGCTTGCTTAGTTCCTTGCAGGTCTGAATGGTGTACGCATAAATTGGATGTGAAGTTGTCGCATTGCTTGGTGGACAGAATGTTACCTCACTAACTAAAATTGATCCCTTTTTTCTACAAAAAAAAAAAAAAAGAAAAAAAAAAAAGGAGACAATCTTTTCTATTTCTCAAACTCATGTGCAACTTGTAATATGTATTATTAAATTCATGCAAAGACTTTAAATTTATAGGTTGTTTTATAGTATTAAAGAGAGTATCCTTCAAGAAAACAAATGTTGCTTTCTTATACATGCTTGTATGATAAAAATACATTTGTTATACATATGGAACTATATGGAACTATATGTATTGAGAGGTTGCTTTCTTAATTCCTATAAGGTCTGAATGCTACACTCATAAGTCATAAATTGGATCCACACTTTATAAAGTTGCCACATTGCTTGGCTCCCAAAATTAAATTGTCTGTTGTTTATGATGTTTTAAAGATAGATAAAGTATTCAGAAGACAAATGTTACTTTATAATTATCAATTGAGTTCTGATGTACTTTGTTTTTAACTAGAATATAGTTTGTTCATTTTGATGGGTTTGCTATTTTCTTTTTCTTTTATACACAAAGCAAACCATAATTTTAAATAAGGGTGTTCGTAGTGTGGTTTGATTCGAATTTTAATATTTTTTAAATCAATTTAATTTAATTGGTTAGTAAAATTTTTAAATTAATCAAATCTATTATTATATGATAATCAAATCAATCTAATTTAAATTAGATCGGTGTGGTTTAGTCGGATTGGTCAGTGTTTAACAATATTAAATATATAAGATAATATAAAAAATTTAATATTAAGTAGAAAACATAACTATAAAATAAATTAATATCCAAATTACGAGAAACATAAGAAAATGCATAAATTATAATTTCTTATACTCATTTACTATTGTAAAGATTGAAAAGATTGAAAAAAAAATTTTGGCTAAATCACCAGAGGCACTAAGGATAATAAAAGATAATTTTAAATTTTAAATACAATACAAATAATTTTTAAAGGTTAAAACTAGTTTTTTTTTTTCCTTAATGCACCAAATGATTCAATCCCATCTTCCAATCCCTATTAAAAACAAATAAAATTTAACATGAATGCTATTAGAAATGATTAGAAGCATTTGTAATTAAGATTTAAAACTCCTCAACTAAACATCTAAGAATAGTAAAATATTATAATTAGTTCTATTATATAATTTTAAGACTTCTAGAATGATATTTTTTAAAATTTAGTCAAGAAAATTAAAATATTATTTTAAGAACAAATTAAAAATTTAGAATTCTAAAAGTAGAGTTGTAGAGCAATTTTAACAAATAGAGTTATAGTTGAATTGAAAATTTAGAATTAAGGTTAGAGTGTACTATTTAAAAAGGAAAATAAATTAAAGAATATGAGAATATTTTATTTTTATTTTTTAATTGAGTTTATGGAGTTATCATCTTATAAAATAAGAAAAAAAATTACAATATTACAAAAATATATTATATTATTTAATTAAGTTATCTTATAATTAAATTTTATTTTGTAACTAAACGGTTCAGACAGTTTAAAAGTAAAATCATAAACCAAACCAATTATATCGATTTTAAAATTTTATAATTCAAATCAATCCAATTTTATATTAATTTGATTTGATTTTTTATCATATTAAATTAATTTAAATCGAATCAATTGAATTAAATTAAATATGAACAGCCCTAATTTTAAATATAAATTTTAACTTTCACATGCACAACAGATTTTGGTGCCTCAGGTATTTCCTTTTTCTTTTGCGATACATAAATCCCTGGGAGGTACACATTTTTTTTACTTTGTGTGTGATAATAGGTTACACAATATGAGACAGATTGATGCCACTTTGCATATTGGAGATGTGCATTTGCATACTTAAAGCACACTCCTTATAGATGATTCTTTAAGTGATATTTGGTATCAATGGATGAGCTTCCACTCCCTGCAGTTTCCCATTTAACTTTTGGATGTAATTTGATCTAATCCTTTTTACACAGCAAATGATTGAGAATTACAAAAAAATTTTCTTTTCATAAATAATTCTTTCATGCATATCAATTCACACCCAATCATGCATTATTACCAGTAGATGAGACTGAACCTGGATATAATTGTGTGAATCATGTTTCCAGCATCCTCAAATTTCTTGCCAACTTAATATCAAGCCGTCAAAGCAGAAAATAAACTTCAACCTCATTATATTAATTTTCCTTTTAGATACTAGACTGAAAAATTGCCCGACATACAAATTGAAATAGTAAAATCAACCAAACTTACATCCACAATTATACCAAATACCAAACACAAATCACCAAGTAACAAATACCCTCTTGTCAGCCATATAATCTGATGATAGAATTACTTGTACTCTTAACCACAAGTTTGAGATTCAATTCCTGATCTCTAGGTACCCAAAAACAACAAATACCCTCTTAAACATGTTGATACAACCACATGACAAACTATCAAATAACTTAACTGAGGAATGCTACTCCCCTATATAAGTCGGCTTACCTAAGCAAGAACAGTTTCGTATTCATTTTCTTCTTGGCAGCATTCATGCATCTAGTACCGGTCACGCCTGATTAAAAACAATGAGTAAGGTTCAAGAATAATCCTTATCAGAACAAAAAACTTTAAAAGCTTCAGGCACAAAACAAAGGGTAATAAAAATAAGGCAGGCAAATATCTATCACTTGGTTTTGAGGTGAAGATCAAGATTCAAATCCAAGCAATAACTAACAAGTCATAATATAATTAGGTACTAAAAGAATGTCATCCCTTCATCAGCTCATCATAATCAAACAATAGTCAAGATATTTTAGAATTTAGATGAGATTAAAAAAAAAACAGGGTTTTTTATGTGAAGAAAAACAGCATTAAAATCTACAGTACAGGTGTTCGCTACCCCCCTATGCCTTAAGCATGATTGGTTCTGGGTCTATTCAAGATTTACAACCATTTCTCTATACTGTATTCCAATAATAAGGGAAATATACTACAGATGATAGCACTCAAAAAGGCTGAGTAAGATTCTTATCCTCATGTTTTATTTAGAACAATACATTCAAAACTAGCCAATATGTTCAGGCTCGTTGAACATAAAAACTTAAGATCAAAACTTTTAACTCAATATTTCTTTTCTCAAGTTTGGTCATTTTGTCTACAAACAATTATAATTAGCTTATTGAGCATATAAGCTCAAAAAAAATAAAAAAATAAAAAAATAAAAAAAGGAAGAAAGAAAAGAAGGATTTAGCTTCAGGCTAAAAGAGTTTCTACGTTGCCAAAATCATAAAGGATTGTAGCTCCCATCCTCAAATACATTTGATGCAACTGTCCCTGGCTTTTATCTTATATTAAGCTTCTTGGACTCAAATACTAGCTAGAGTTCAGCATTAAATTTGAAAACAATGGTAAAAGACTCAGGTTGGCACATTTTACAATAATAGAAAACAAATATTATATTATATTACACATTTAATAAATTAAAAAAAGATCACAAAACAATACTAATAATATGTTGTACAAGCATGGGATATTGTTAAACAAGTACCTGTGGTGATCATGATCCCTGGAGCGTTCCCTAGACCTTGAGCGTGACCTGTGGCGGCTTCTAGAATCATAAGTCCGAGAGCGCTCATAATCCCTATCACGATCTCGATCACTATGCCTGTCACGGTCTCTGCTCCTACGATCATAATCCCTCCCTCGGTCATGGCTATTCCCTCGGTCTTGATCCCGACTTGATTCTCTCTCATGATCTCTGCTTCTTTCTTTTGATCTATACACCACCAATAAAAAGGATATCACAACAACCCCCCCTCACCACCCAATGGTTTACCATAGGCAAAAGGAAAAGAAACCATAAGAGGATTACCTCCTGTCATCATACCGGTCAAGTTTGCGGCTCTTGTTTCTCTCTTCCTAAGAAAACAATAATCAGCAAATACTACTGAATGCTTCTTTCAAAAATCTAAATGCCAATTCAATTTAGCAAAATATAACATGCCACAAGGACCGTTAGGAAAGAATTCTAATGGTGGTAAGCATAATTAGTAGGCAACTTAACCTGACCAAACCAGGCCTTCATCAGATTTGTTGTCACAGATTTTAAACATATGAAAAGCTCTTTTTTTTTTCTTACATTACTTGCAACAAACTCCTTTCTTGTACTTCTCTCCTATTTGATTTCATGTTTCCTTTTTCTTTCATTCTTTCAGCAGAAAAAACTAATGTATCAAAATTGGTTGAGCACCAAGACATTTCATATTTGATGCATTTTAAGCCTGATATGCACAGACAAGGTAGAAAATACTATGTTTTAAAGGCCAGCATCGACAAACAATCAAAAGAAATTGAAAACTGGGAGATATTATTCTTCCCTGAGGTCAGAAAAACTCACAGATGATACTAACTGAGAATCTGTATAGAAGAATGAGAAACATTATACCAGCACCTGACCAACATATTCACAATACAAACTTAAGGGTATCTGGAAAAGATGTATTAATTTACTGTTTCACTACAATCCATTGGGCAACAGCATTCAAATAAAGTTCTGATTATTTAAAAATAATAATAATAATAATAGACATAGTATGTGGATAGTTCAGGCAATTTACACAACCCACATCTTGGATGCCAGGCACTATAATGTAACACTTAAAGTAGAGCCACCATAGACAGTCAGCATATACTAAGCATGTAAAGCATCTTACCTGAAGTTCTGCTAATTTATCACGGATCTGCATATAGCCTAAATGAAGTTTGCCTCCAAAATGATCTGCTAAACGTCGGTCACTGAAAGAAACAAGAAAAATCAAATCACTTTGACTGAGAAACTTAAAAAAAAGAAAAAATATATATATACTGCAGTATGCATTATAGATTATACAGTTTCCCAAATATTTATTATCTAACAATTGCATGATCTACAAGTACAAAAACAGAAAAAGACGCACATTATGTAGCTGCAAAAGTTATCCTCGTAAAACTGGGCCCAAAAGCCTGCTGGTGACAAGGAGGTATAATAGCCAGGTCAAAAGCTGAAGCACTTGAAACCCCAAACACTAACTTTTTGAAGCCCTTAGAAAGAAGATAAAAGGCTATGATCAAGAAGTAGAAGACAAAAAATGTACCTGTCATAAACACTCAAAAATGCTCCACAAATATCACAAACACGTAGCTTTTGATCAGTCTGAAACAAAATTGGATCAAAAAGATTAGAGCAGATAGAATATTAACATATAAATGAACTAAAAGAAAATTAAACTAAAATCAAATTATGACAGGGCCACAGGGGACTGTTCATGCATTAATTATGCAAATCAAATTCATATTTTCCCAGTAAGGTCCAAGTGTGTCTAAGTTTTTTTATCTAGTTTTTATCATAGTTTTCCTTCTGTGAAACTGAAAGAAAGAAAAACAGAACTCACAATGCGAACATCAGCAGCAGTATACTTTGAGGAATCCAGAACAGGCTCCTGTCTGGCAGAGAGCTGAACATATATGGAAAAACAATTATCCATAAACAAGGCATACCAAGGAGAAGGAAATGGTGCAAGTTAATAAAAATCAATCTACAGAAATAACACTACTAAATTCACAAATTGAAACCTTCTTGAGTGCTTCAGCCTCTTCTAATGCTTTTTGTGCCTCATCTACCATCCCCTTCTCACCTAAACAACAACAAGAGAGCAAGAGAGACTATTAATAAAACATTGATAAGTACATCATGTATTCTGGAAAACTTTGCACAACACAGTTCAATCCCTTTCTGTATAGTTTAAATGAAACCACCCTAAAGGCATTGTTAATGTAAAGCACTGAGTGTTAATTGAAAAAACAGTAAAGCACTGAGTGTTAATTGAAAAAACAGCAAAGCACTGAGTCTTTATCAACCATTGACAATTGTTTTGGAATGGCAGGGGAAACAAATTTTCTGACATTGACATTTTTTTTTTATAGGAAAAAAAGGTAAAGCACAAACAGGAAGGAACATAAATTGGCATCATAAATAACTCAGAAACAACTTAAGGATTACTGCAATTCCATTTCTAGGAATTTAATTATTTAAGACATGCTACCTAATAGATATCTATTGTCAAGAACTCAAGATGTTTATGTTATTTAACACATGACTTAATAGATATCTATTGTCAAGAACTCAAGATGTTTATGTTATTTAACACATGACTTAATAGATATCTATTGTCAAGAACTCAAGATGTTTTTCTCCTTGCTTTACATACATAAAAACCGGAGTTCAGGTAACCTGAGTCTTACCAAGATCCTCAGCTTTCTTCAGCTTCTCATTTATCATTTCCTGGGTCCGAGGATCAGGTGCAGGCACAGGCAGTGGTGCCAAAGATGGAGGGTTGAGCAATGGTTGGAGCAAAGATGCCCGATCTTTATTGAATGCATCCAAAAGCAGTGTTGACTATAACAATAAACAGAAGCATCATATATACCAAGAGACTAAATGTTATACAAGAATCAAATTATGAGGAACTTAATACAAAATCAATATCAGAAATTCTGATATGAACAAATCAATACTTTCAGAGACCCATTTCAAATCCTACATCTAAAGAAGCTATCAAGAACCTGTTTATCCGCTCTTTTAGTTCTAAGCTCTTCTACTTCTTCTAGAGCTCGTATTTTAAGATCTGTCTTGCCTTCAAGATCTGCAAATCAAAAAGATATCATGTACACCCCAAAGCTAATCATAAAATTTACACAATTTATCCACAGTAAATATTAAGACAAAGGACAAAGAAAATATTATGCAACATAATTGTTGCGTGGACAGAATTTAGCACTTTAAAAAAAAAAAAAAACTTGTTGAAAGGCTTCAAAAATCAAACAAGATATGGCTTACTAGGAAGTCATCAAGTCAAGCAATGTAATATTACGGATTTGATATAATCACTGAAACCAATCATATATTAAACTCCCAAACCAATCATATGTTAAACTCCCTAACAAGAGAAATTTCTCAACAATTCTCAAAAACTCATTTACAAAGGCTGCAACAAAAGTGAGACTCTGACAAATCATTACTTTGTCATGCTAATCTCCCTTTTAGAGGCACACCAAATGATGTGAACAGTTGACCATTCTTTGGCACCATTGCCCAACTCCTCCAGAATATGTGAGGAGACATAGCCTTTGGCTGAATTCAACGATATTGATTTAATCTTAACTATCCAAACATATCAACCAGACAAATGGATATTCTGTGGCAGTCTCCTCACTCTAAAAATACCGATTGAATCATTTAATTATTCTTTTTTATAACAAATTAAACACCTTAGAGTTGAAATAATGGAGAATGCAGTCAAACTCCAACTATGGCCATCCCCCTGTACCATATAATCAAAATCTTAAAATTTATGAAATCTATTGAACCTACAAACAAAAACTTCACAACAATTGTTATAAATTTGGACATCACCCTGAATCAATTAATTCAAAGAAGAATAACCAAGTTAAATCAAAGAAAACAAATCAAGTACTCATCATCAATTGGC